CTATAACGACAAATAAAAAAWATTAAAATTAACGATTCATTTGCTCTTAAATCTTTATAGGTGTACTATACGGGTGAACCGGAGGTTTTAAAACGGCCAACGGTCAACGGTTCACCAAAATTCAGAGCTGTTGAACTATCAAGAAAACGTAATTAAATATTTAAAAATTAAATTTGTGATATAACAGTTGTTAAGTGGTTGCTCGTAATATTAAACGTAAAATACTGATGTACTTTRTTTTAAAACCGAATCTAACAAGAAGAAGAATAGAAAAATGCACTGTTTCTCAAGTATAACTAGTATAAGTAAGGTCTATCACCTATGTGATAACTGGGTGGGCAACTGACGGCCCGCGAGCCTTTTTTATCTGGCCCGGGCTACATTTTCAAATTGCATTAGGTATAGGTATACAATTTTAAACTTTATCGTCTATACTCTRTAATCTATAATGTCTAGTATAGTGTATACTCTATCTTATCGATATAATAATAGTTATCTGGTATTGAACATTGTTAAATGTATAAATGTCACAATATAGTTATATAGTAGGTATATAAACATGTATTACCTATGTCCTATTTCATTATAAACAAAATAAATGCTATTTAAAATATATATTTTGAATAACCTTTTTTTTTTTTTTGCTTTCTATGCTCTGGCCCGCTATATTTTAAAYTTCTAAAAATTGGCCCTATAGTAACTGTGAGTTGCCCATCCCTGACCTATAGTAAGTTTACTTACTATAAGTGATATTAGCCATTTTGGTTTGAATTTTGAAAGGCRTTTAGTCTTGTAGGTACACACATTTTAAACATAATAGGTACAATACGAACCGTTGTTCGGACGATAAATTATTTAACTAAAAGATGTTTTTGAATAAATCTGGCTAATTAAATCAGTTTTTAAGTACCTACACCTATCATTCTATAGTTCGTTTTAACTACGTCAAGTTATATTAACGCAAGTAAAATAGAATATAACTACAAATATACGATACCTTTAGCATAACTGCGAGCCGCAGCCACATCTTAATATTTGACAGAATATTGACAGTGCTAAGTAATGTATCGATAGCTATTTTAAGTCGAAGAAAAAGTACAATTAATTGAAAACAATTCTTTACTTTAAACACAATATAAAAGCCAAACTTTAAACAAATTAAAAAGTGATTGAATACAATTATTATTATTAAAGAATATTCACGTTCGTAATATAACACTATAAAAAATTAAGTTTTCTATTCGAATAAATATTAATACAGTGAATAAGTACAATCGTCGACTCGTCGTCAACAATAAACAATATATTCACCATAGCTAGTATAATCATAATATTATTTATAGCCAGTAAAGTAATTAGTGTGGTATGAATATATAACACACACGTATATTTAGGTAATAGCCAACACAGTATAATATCAATATTTAAATATTATTAAATTCTTTTAATGAAATATAAAACTGGTTTATTTTTAATATTTTACGTGTGATTGAGGATTTCAGGATTTGTTTAATATAACACTATTTACTTACTTAATACAATGTAATTTAGAGCTACTGGGCTCCCACACGAGTTCTCTCAGTATAAAGTCTAATATTTTGAAAAAAAATAAAATGTWTTTGGTACACCTTTTGAAATCATGGTATATGATCGTAACTTTTTGACGGTCAGATACCTGTAAATACTTTCGGTATGCACATGACCGTCATAAACCCTCGAAATTTAAATTTGTTCTTAACAATAAAAACAGAAGGTATACCATATTATTATACTTTTACTTTGTATTTCATATTATACTCAGCGCTGGGTTACCCTGCATAGTGCATGCAGTGGAAGTAGGACGTGATTGAAGTGGTAAATTTTTCACACTTTAAAAAATAAATAAATATATTTAATGTAATAGGTGATGTATATTATAATGCACACTAATGAGTGAAGGTAGATCAAGAAAAAGTATTTTATTCAATTTAAAGTAATAAAGAATAATTTAATTATTTTAATTAACAATATATTTCTGTGTGTAGGTAATTTGWTTTTTTTAAAACCTTTGAAAATTGAATGGCGGCAAATGTCTTACTTGTAGGTGGAAAATAATTGCTTGAATTCACTGATTATACTACAACAATATATTATTAGTATCTACTTTATTTTGTATTTCTGTGCCTCTGTGGTATGGCCAAGATTAAGATAGTACTAGATCCAACTGATCCAAGGTGGATATATCCACCTTGACTAGATCTAAGATACTATCTTAAATCGTGGGTATGACACAATAGTCCATACACCCATTGCGGCATTGGCAAATGGGCAAATTGCTCTGTTCTAAATATGCCTTAATGGCCAATGCTTATCATTTCCTTATATTATGATCAACACAAAAAAATATGATTAATGGCAAAAAAATAATAATTTTTGACGAATGATTAAGATCATTTTTGTATTTTGTTGAATAACAAATCGAAAATCCAATGTCCCAATATTGATAACAAGGCAAAATAATGTTTCTGATAATATGAGTAAGCAACTAAG